AACATGCTTCAGGAAGTGCTTCAGTAGTCATGCACACGAACAGCTGATCATAGTGACTGACAGTTTCAGCCTTTTAGAAAACCCTGGATGCTTCTGTACAATTTCATTGAAGGAAGTCTTCCTGCATCTCTTTGGAGTGAACGATGACTTCTAGTCAAACGGATTTTCACACACGGTCAGGGACTGGACATGTGTGAAAAGGTGTACTACTAGTACTACTACACTACTGTGGGCATGGCTTCGCCGAACAACACCACAGCAGGTCTGCAAAGAGTAGAACTAGGGTTCTTTGATATCGACAATTCCTATTGTTGAAGGGGTATTCCTTTGAATCTATCCGGTGGTGTTTGGGATAACATGTGCTTACATTGCTCAAGTCAGTGGCTGAATTGACTTCCAGCGCTGTGCACCCCCACCAGAAACAAGTCCCGTTTCATGAGACTCATTTGACTTTCAAGCAGGGTATGCACACACGTCTGACGTGCGACTGCACCTTCCATTTCTGTTTGTTGAATCTTGGCGTCAGCGTTTTCAGACCATGAAGGCCTCACATGCCACAGACCTTGACAAACAACAGGCAGCCACGCTGAAAGTCCAAATAGATGACATACTCCAGTGGTGTAAGTGAATTGATGTGAATTGGCGATTGCATCGGACACATCTCGATCAAAGGCGGGTGATTTGGTCCTTTGACGCTGTGACTATTTCTGACTCACCCTGGCGGGTTCTGCTCGACCGGTCTTGGCCAGGCCCGCCTCGTTACCGCCGAAGGCCTTGTTGCTACGAGCCTTGGTCGAGAAGTTTTGAGGGATAGGGCATTTTGTAGACACTCTTCGGCTAGAAAAGGTATGGAAAAAGTCGTGAGGCAACGAATGGGCTGAAGTTTGGCTAAGAAGGAGCCCATGCACCAGAACCAGCGGATGCTCATCGATGTCTGACTGTGACTAAGCAGCGGGAAAAACACATTAAACATAGATCATTAAACAAAAACATCATTCTGAGACAAATCCTTAACGATTCCAAGCAGACTGAAGTGGTTCAGTCACCCCGCATCTGCGTGAAAAGGGTTGAACATCTGATCACATGGAACGAACACATATATTTACTGGACAGTCTTGGACGAGTTCTTGGTCTTCATGTATTGAGCATCGTCTCTGGTTGACCGCTAGGTGTGATAGAGTTATTTGTTTTTAGTTGTTTTTTGGTGTGTGTGTGTGTTATTTGGCTGATGTCTGTGTTTGAGGGTCCCTCCACCTTGTCATTCCACAGACCAACACCACCGTGCACCACTCTCGAGTCGGAACCGGCGAGGCTTGGACTCGTTGGCTCGCATGGGTCTCCGGCTGCCAGAGGTGCTGAAGTTTGTTTATTGGTTTAAAGGGTGTTTGTTCACCGTGCATGCTGGGGCAGCTTCCTGCTGGAGGATTCGTGCCGCCAGTTTTGGCATGATTGAACAGATGAAAGGAGAAACCTTTAATATCATTTGATCATATTTAATCTAATTATATCTTACAAATGAACTGCAGCCGGCGGTTGATGGACGTGCCGTTTTGCTGTAGATGTGGGAATGCGGTCGGTGTAGGACTTCAAGAAACCTACGGAATAGTCTTGTGACCCCGAACACACACACACACAGAAGAGGTTCGAGATGAAAAGTTCAAAACACAAAAAATCATCAAAATTACTTTACGTCGAGTGATCCCCACCATGACATTTCAATCATTTGTCTTGATGCCATAGTGAGGAGCATGTTGCCATAGTCGTTAGTATTGTAGTTCTCGATGTTGCTTGTGGGTCCTCGGGTTGTGTGCTGTGGTTGTGTGCTGTGTTGTGGTTGTGGTTGTGTTTGTGGTTGCGTGTTTGTGGTTGTGTGTTTGTGGTTGTGGTTGTGATTGTGTGTTTGTAGTTGTGGTTGTGGTTGTGTCTTTGTGATTATGTGTTTGTGGTTGTGGTTGTGGTTGTGTCTTTGTGATTGTGTGTTTGTAGTTGTGTTTGCGGTTGTGTGTTTGTGGATGTGTTTGTGGTTGTGTTTGTGGTAGTGGTTGTGATTATGTGTTTGTAGTTGTGGTTGTGGTTGTGTCTTTGTGATTATGTGTTTGTAGTTGTGGTTGTGTTTGTACTTGTGGTTGTGTGTTTGTGGTTGTGTTTGTGGATGTGTTTGTGGTTG